ATATATACGATTTTTTTTAAATGATAGTTCAAATTAAAATAAAAATTATACCAATTGTAAAAAATTACCACGTTTTATTTCATTAATATCAATTTTAATTAAGTAAAACTCCTGAATTGTATTTTCAAAATTAGAAAGAAATAAGCGCATATATAGGAAGAACATTACTGCTTTTATCTATTACGTGCATTTACCTGTTGAATTTCGTGACCTGCGAATTTCTGCCGGAATTGAAAGAATGACAATGCCGATCACCACTGCTGTCCCTCTGTACCAGACAAGATTTCGGCTTCGACGAGCCACCACAACTATACATGCACAGAACAACCACGTAATCTTATACTAATCGGCTACTTATACAAGCACCTGTGCGATGTTTCTACTACGCTACTTCATAAAAATTTGTTGCTTTCAGAACATTTGATATATGTACATACATATCATAAAATGCCAGTAGTGCAATTAAAGCCAAATTTCCGTGATATAAGAGAAAATGACGTTTTAGGTATGCCTAAATATGATAATGAGAAATTAAATGTCATAAAAATAATCTTTTCGTTTATATTCCTAACCATTATTAGTGTGTGTATGTGTGTGTGTGTGTGTGTGCAGCACAATTTAAAAAATATAAAATTATATATTATAAAAATATAAAATTCAAAAAGTGTAGAGCCAACTTCACACACGTTACACAACAGATATGTTAAAAAAAACACGATAATTATCAGGGTTGAGAACATTATTTCATAAAATAATGCATTATCTCATTACTGTTATTTTTATAAAAAGTACCTCATATCGTTACGCAGTATAAGAAACGATTCGTTACTTTTTTCGTTACTTTTTTGTGACATTAAAATAAGATATATTAGATTTAAAGATTATTTAAAAATTATTATTTATAGGGATGCACCGGATATCCAGGAAGTGTCCGGCATTTCCGGCACTTTTTTACTAGTGAAATTTTATATTATTTGTTTTTGTCATTAATACAGAATTTTATTCTTTTCAGCTGAATTTCTTATAAAAATCATTTTTCCTCTTTTTCTTTTTATGTTGGGAAAATAAAGAAAATTATTGCTATTTATACTTTTTTTTAAAGCCTTTTTCCAGATATCTGGCAGAGTATCCAAGGAAATATATGATATCCGATCGGATAATTACCCTACCGGATATTCGAATAAAATTTGACAATTTAACAATTCTTTAGAATATTCTCAGTCAATTACACAGGCCCACAAAAAATAATTATAATTGATTAAAGATAGTGTCGAAAACTATTATAGTCTCGATATTTTCGTATTAGGATTTTTGTCTTAGAATGTGCAAAAGAATCCAGAAATAATAATAGAGGCTATAAAAGTAAAATGGTTTTTAACTTATAAGCATTTAAAGTTAGCTTATAATTCAAAAAATTATTGTAGTCTCGACATTTTTCTTATTAAGATTTTCATCTCAAAATTACCTCAAGAATATATCCTTAAGAAGAAATGCGATAGTTGTGAGACACTCTGTATATATAAATATTATTATTTTTTAATATATGCTTATCTTTAAGAATTTAGATTATAATTTACAACCGATTTTAAGAATCTGGAGGAAGGATACAGTGAAGGAAAAGTGACAACAGATTAAACAAATTGTATAAAGAGGATTTTTAGTGGAAAGGAAATTAAAATAAGGAAAGGAGAACAGTGGATTCTGTTCACTTATAGGGAGGAAAGGAGGGCTTCATTACAAAAAAACTAGATATAGATTTGGGTTGAATCTCACTTTGCGTGAAAAGTTGTAAATGTTCATATGGAACCTTACTTCATGTAGGTTTACAATGTTCCACGCAAAGCAAGGTTAAATACAAACCTATACGTTTAATTTGTTTGTAGTAGAGTATTCCCCAGGAGAGGTAGAACTCACTGTATACATATCTTACGCACTTTACAACGCAAAGTAAGATTCTACGTGGACTTACAACGTTCAAAATATCAGAGAGAATAATTAACTTAATTGTTGATAACTTTTTAATAAACACTGACTTACAGCTAAAACCTTCTGAAGAGCACTCAACGTCATGAGTTTGTCAACATATATAACTGGTTTCTTTATATTACATAATTATTGATAATTATTTAACTTTGGCTCTAATCTTTATGGACATACATATAGATATATATGCTCAAATATAATTATATATTTATAATATATATGACAATATGCATATGTATGTATATATTTGTATATACGTCAAAATATAAATATTAAAGACCAAATTTTAACGTGTATATTATGCATTTTCTTCATTTATATAAGCTTTATGAGAATTTAAAGAATTTTGTGCCAATTGGCAAAATAATGCATGTAAGTTTATATAAAGAATAATTTGCATGCAAATAATGAATATTTGTAAGAGCAAATCTAAGTGCATGCTGAAAAATCTAAGACATTATAAAAACTAAAATCTGAACTAGTCTCTTTTCGTTCATATGAACTTAAATGAAACAATAGACTTTAACTTGACTTCTCAACTTTTTAAGTGTTAATAATATGACATCCTTGTTTTATAACATACAACAGAAATGATAATAAATTCGTTGCCATGAATTTATATAAATCATTCCATGAGCATTCTCTCTATAGTATTACAGAATCTAAAACTGAATAATATTAAAATTGAAGTAAGACTATTCACGAATTACCTTAGCCTATTTTTGTACAAGCGATGCCTTCCGTTTCCATCAGTCTCCTTGTAATCAGTCTCTGTATCACTACTGCTGTCTTGCACATAATTGATGCGTTCCGACGGATTTGACATGTCAAACCACCTGTCAAAAATAAAAAACATATATATGGTAGACAGGAAGGAACAATCTTGCCGTTCTTCCTCTTCTCCGCGAAACGTTGACCAAACATTTAGAAGATACATTAGTATGCCAGATTTATTCCTTTACGAAAAAAATGTCAAACTTTTAATAAGTATCCTAACCTTAAAAAATCATTACAGATTGCACAAGTTTCTCTCCTTTATATTATCTTGTTTTTTTTATAATGTCAAGCAATGATTTTTGTCATTCTCGTATCTCATTCGTTAACATACAATAAATTCCTAGATTTTTTTGTTTACTTATCAAATACAAAAGGTGTTAAAAAGTGAAACGAAAGACGATGTCTTCTATCGAGACTTTTAAATTTTTAAAAAGTTTTGACCTTCTTGGATTGTTTTAAAAATTCGAAATTTTTTTTATGAGAGATACATCAATGATCGTATAATACAGTAAAGATAACGATAATACTTACGCGCTCGAGAGAGACCAACCGAGCCGTTTAAAAAATCTCTTTGTGGACTTGCAGATCTCCAGATCGTATGAATCAGCACGAATGTGGGTTAACTTGATAACAACGGCTCTTTTATTGATAAATGTAATAAAACTACATGCACTTGATGCACATCTATTTATTAAAGGTCTGTTTTTTATACCTGCAGAAGGGCATTGGTTATATATCTCTTGAAAGATGAAAATTACAAAAATGAGCAAATTCACTAGGTTTTGACCAATGAAATTACAAATATTCCAATGGCTGCGTTCAGCAGACTCAACAGTTTTGCAACCGTTTTATGATTGTCTGCTGAGATAGGACCATTCTTCTAGATCTAAAAGTATGATCCAATTAGCGCGAAGGAAACTTCCAACAGTTGCAAAACAAACGTTCTGCTGAACGCAGCCAATGAATTTGGTCACTTTCGTAATTTTAGGTTCGCTCTTTTTAGCTAAAATTCTTGCACTAAAGCTCTAGCTATACAAAAGTAGCACAATCCTTTTATTTGGGAGTCGATTGTGTATTTTGAAATGAGGTGAAAATTACAAAAGTGAGCAAATTTACTAGAATATTCGTAATTTAATTGGTCAATATGTGCAGTGAATTTAATTGATTGGCTGATGCAAGTTACACTTAGGGTGAAATCACACGGTGCGGAAAAAGACTGCGGAATAAAGAATGCGTCATTGAAGCAACCAATCAGCGCTATTCAGCGCTATTCGGAATAGCGCTGATTGGTTACTTCAATGACGCATTCTCTATTCCGCCATCTTTTTGCGCACCGTGTGATTTCACCCTTAGGCTATGTTTTCATGGAGAAAGAAACCAATGGCTGCGTTCAGCAGAACGTTTGTTTTGCAACTGTTGTAAGTTTCCTTCGCGCTAATTGGATCATACTTTTAGATCTAGAAGAATGGTCCTATCTCAGCAGACAATCATAAAACGGTTGCAAAACTGTTGAGTCTGCTGAACGCAGCCAATATAAAGCCGGTGGCACACGGTGTTTATTTTCTTGCTGGATTGCTAGTTAAAATAAATTCTTGCCACCATATTGGCTACGATGCTGACACTATCAGTACCGCAGCCAATGCAATGGTAAGATACTAATCTAGCTAAAGATTAGTTTATAATAGGCCGTAATCTATTAACTTTTTCTGTAATCTGTGAGAGTTGACCAATCACAGTCGAATAAGAGGAGAATAATCGACTATGATTGGTCAATTCTTATAGATTACGGAAAAAGTTAACAGATTACGGTCTATTATAAACCAACTCTAAGGGTAAAATCACACGGTGCGGAAAAGGACTACGGAATAGAGAATGCGTCATTGAAGCAACCAATCAGCGCTATTCAGCGTTATTCGGAATAGCGCTGATTGATTCTTCAATCACGCATGGCTGCATTCAGCAGACTCAACAGTTTTGCAACCGTTTTATGATTGTCTGCTGAGATAGGACCATTCTTTTAGATCTAAAAGTATGATCCAATCAGCTCGAAAGAAACTTCCAACAGTTGCAAAACGAACGTTCTGCTGAACGCAGCCATTCTCTATTCCGCAGTCTTTTTCCGCACGGTGTGATTTCACCCTAAAAATCCAGCAGGAAAACAAGCATCGTGTACCGCAGGCTAAAACGCGTATAAAATGCACGATGTGAACTAGGCTGAAGAATCTGACCAAATCTGACATCCCTGCTAGGAATGCTAGGTGCTGGGGTGCTGCTGGGTTAGTGAATCCTGCAAAGAGCAGTGTGCGAAAGTGTATTCGTCCCACGTCTGATTCGTTTTATCGAAGAACTGCAGGGATCTTCCCGCTGAACGCCACAATCATGAAGATGCAAGGAATGAGTTTGACAAGCGTGAAGAAGCATCCAGCTGTGAGCACGCCAGACTCACAGTTTACTCTGCGTTTACAGAATGTTGGGATACTTCATTCAATATCCTCTTATTTTTTCAGCTGCTCCCACTGTATTTTTGCTTAGGCTTGGGTGCCTGTGGCGCGGCGTACTACGTCTATCGTCTAGCAGCACATAGTCCCGATGTTTCCTGGCTAAACAAAAAGGAGTCTGAACCATGGAATGCCTATAAAACTAAGCAATATAAGGTGCTAAGCTTGATGAAATTACTATTTCACCACTCCAAACTTATTTTGGATGATCCATGTCAAAATACAGGATACGATTCTATTTACAATTTTGTCCTGTCTGTGTTCTGTAAAAAATGTTTGAAAAATTATATATACACATTTATATAAAGTATATTAAAATGTATGTATATGTATATATATGCACAGTATGAAATTGTATATAAGTAGAAATTCATCCTGAAAGGCGATCATCTAAAGTGAGCTTAGAATAATTCCAAATGTATCAATTGCTCAGAAGGCAGCTTCTGTATGTGCTCATATTTGTGTCTTGTTATAGTTTTATGCAACAAAGGATGAAATCAGCAGTGCAAAGAGCTCGGCGCCAGAATATTGAACTGTAATGTGTAAACTAGTATTTGTTATAGGAATAAATTGTTATATAAATTACTACCTCCAAGAATTTTTATCTCTGAATAATACTATTGTTCTTGTGACCAAACAACAGGAGCATAATTCTTAAATTACTCCCAGAAAGAATATATTCAACATCATTGAACGTATATTATAATTTAATTTTTTTATTAGTTTGAGAGAAAGTTTGATATTTTTAATAAAGTCTGTATCACCTGTAAGCGATTCTGATACAGAAACGGCATTCTTTTCTTTTCCTCCACTAATATAGGGTTATTACATCACGATCTCGTATATTATTTCACAAAAGTTTTAGTCTCTTCTCCATTAAATTTCTGCAAGGGATGTAAATACAATATATTGCGAACAATATCTTGTGTTTTTATTTATACATGTACCGAAAAGAAATATGACAGATTCATCGTGTCTGGAAAACTCGAGCTCTCCTTTCCGCAGGAACGAATTCTCGGAGAAGTGTGGTATCGAGTCACGTGAATAACTTATTATATAAGGACATAAATGATTTATTTCGAATTTCTTACGCAACTATTACTTGCAAAACGCTGATCGACGATCGAAGTTAAATTGATCTTTTTTAGGGAAAATACACGTCGAGGTTAGTAACCGCTTTTCATTTTCTTTCTGCTTCCGCTCTAGTTCGACGTTCTTATTTATACGGATCGCAATTCGTATTTGTTGGCGTGAAGTTATCGCAGAGACGAATACTTTACGAATATCGCTAATAATACGTAATAAAATAAATAATACATTCGATAACATTGATAAGTTTTTATTATATAAGCCTTGAAAAAATATGTCTCATTTGCTATAACGACATAACTAAAAACTGTCATTTTGGAGTTTTGCTTACAAAAAAGAATAAAAACATTTAAAAAAAGACTTACTTTCGTTCCTCTACAATCAGTCGTTACATCGAAATTAAATTTCAAAATTGATATTACAAAATTTTAATGATTTAAACTTATTTTTCTGGTAAACTTTGTCCTTTTGTAATTATATCGTCGTAAACGAGTGATATGTATTGAGCATCTCCGTGAGGTTTAATCGTCTTTGTTCTCCTGCAGCAGCTCTTTCTAGTCGCAGCTATTTGCGATGGTCTCAACATGGGAGGATTTCTATGCGAAGCATCCACCCCCTCAAGACCTGGCGCAAAACGAACAAGCGTTGAAGGAATTCACCAGGAAGCATCTCGAGGCTGGTAATAAAGTGGTATTGGTGACGGTGAGTCCCAGGATTTGACATTACAGCTGATATGATTTTGCTACAACATTCTAACTCAAATGATGTTTACTTGCAGAGTGGTGGTACGACAGTACCTTTGGAACACAATACAGTAAGATTTGTGGATAATTTCAGCGCAGGTACAAGAGGCTCAGTTTCAGCGGAATACTTCTTAGAGCACGGATATGCAGTTATTTTTATGTATAGGTAATAATACTTGTGTACTTCTCATAACAGAGCCAGAAATAGACTTTTAGGTGAATCGAGACAAAAGAAAGATTGCAACACTTAATGACGAAAAAATATTTCTTTTCAATATGTAATAAAAAAATAATAATGGTTAGTGTGATATTTAATAATTAAATATTAATTTCATAGGACATGACAAACATACAAATTATGTACATATGTATATTACAAACGAGCGAAATATAGTTAATAAGTTTACGGTAAAGTCAGAGTGTATATATAATATACTTTCTATATTTATATAAATTTATAAATATTAATTTTTGTACAAATTCATAGGAAATGTATTGTTTCAGTTAAAGTAATACTTTTCGCTTTGATAGCCGCAAAATTGTAAATTACATATTTTATCACAAAATTTTTATCGTTATATATTTCATTGTCATTTAATTTAATGCAAACACTCAACAGCGAGTGATTATAGACACCGATAGCGACTAAATTAAAATATATAGAAATTTATATTGCCATTTTTACGCTGCTTCAAATTTTTTATATGAGGCAAGTATCTTGTCTGCTATACAGGATGATGTATAAACTTTCTTCTTTTTTTCTTACATTTTCAGAGTTAAATCTTTGGAACCATTCTCAAGACACTTTATAGGTCAGAAGTTTTTAGACCTGCTTCAAATATCAGACAATAATGAGAATCCAGTTATCACAGGCGAGTTAGAAAATAATTAACCATAATCTTTGAAATTAATCCACATTAATCAAATGTTTATTATACTTTTTTTGCAGTACTACCAGAACATACGCAGAAGGTAGCAACAGTACTGCGAAAATATAGAGAAGCATTTAATCAGAAAAAATTACTGCAACTTACTTTTACAACTTTTTCCGAATATCTCTGGCTGCTGCGATCTGCTTGCCAAGCATTAGCACCTTTGGAGAACAAAGCTATATTATATTTAGCAGCAGCGGTCTCGGATTTTTACATTCCTTCCAATGAGATGGTAATGTCATTCACACAAAACTTTGTCTCATTCATGAAATATAATATATTCTGTTACTTTATTAGTATATATATATATATATATAGATTACTGAGATCATTTTTAGGTGAAAATCCTAATATCAGAATGTCGAGGCTATAATAGTTTTTGAATTATAAGCATTTAAAGTTAGCGAATCATATCGCCTACAATTCGTGCTTTTGAGTATGGTTAGCATTTACCTACTTCTACTACATCTGAATGCACTGTAGGTGATACGATTCGTTAACTTTAAGTGCTTATAATTCAATAGACTTGATATTCTGATATTAGGATTTTCATCTCGAAATGATCAGAAATCTACTCTTAAGCGTCGTCATGGTCTCTACTGGATACACTGTATATACAATAAAATTTTTTTCAGTCAATCCATAAGATTTCTTCGAGTGGGCCACCAACTATATCTCTTCAATTAGTACCAAAGATTTTAGCTCCGTTAGTCAGTTTGTGGGTACCAAAAGCATTTGTAGTTTCGTTTAAATTAGAAACCGATGAAAGCTTGCTGATTTCTAAGGCGAGGACTGCCCTTAACAAATATCATCACAACGTAAGTAATTATTATTGTAATGATATCGAGTTTTCTGTAAGATAATTCTAAATTTTGATGGGAATGTCTTTCAGCTTGTAATAGCCAACATGTTGCAAACTAGAAAGCAACAAGTGATTATTGTAAGCAAGGAAACCAATTACGTTTTGTCTCTTACAAACGAACAATTAGATAATGGTGAAGAAATTGAACAATTAATTGTAAGAGATCTCGTTGAAAAGCATATAAAGTAACTATGGTCCAGAAAAGTTAGTAGTGATAAATCTGTTTCAAGCTATATAAAATATATTTTTAATTTTATATATAAAATATGCATTTTGAAAGTAAATAATACACTGCTCAAAAAAATTATGGCATAGAAAAATTGTGGGCAAAAATTGGCCAACTTTGACTAACGATAACTTTGTGAAAAATTATCGTAGGATAACGTTTTTTTTTTTAAATTAAAACTTAAAATCTCTACTTTAAGACGCTGTAGTCAGATTTTCAATTTGATGCACCTCTGCCACTGTAATTCTAAAAAATATAAGGGTGTTTGTCATATTGAAAATTGCAAAGTTTGACGGAATGCACGGACTTTGTAAAATTTTTTTTGAGAATGCCGTTTGCAGCGACATAAAGTTCGAACTTTCCCCTTTAATTAAAAAAAAAAACGAGTCGCTGCGATTTTTTTCTGCAAAGTTATAGTACTTTAAAGTTACCTTTGCATTTTTTGACATATACTACCGATATTACTTGCATTCGGTTAAACTTCGCAATTTTCAATATGACAAACACATCCTCATTTTTTGAAAGTAACAATAGCAGGGGTGCATCAAATTGAAAATCTGACCATAGTCAGAAAGTCTTAAAGTCGAAATTTAAGTTTTAATTTAAAAAAAAAACCGTTATTCTATGATAATTTTTCGCAAAGTTATCGTTAATCAAAATTAGCCAATTTTTGCTCACAATTTTTCTATGCCATAATTTTTTTGAGCAATGTATATGATATTATAATGGTGGTAATGGGAGAGAGATACTCAGGTTTAGTATACATATACTATTATATTATATGTATGTGTATATATATATATATATATACAGGGTGTATAAAAAGTACCGGGACGGCGAAATATCTCGAAAACTAAGCATTTTAGGAAAATGTTTCAGATAAAAGTTGTAGGGTTTCAAAAGATCTATTTATTAGCACAATGAGTTTGACCTTGGGTGGCATCGCCAAGGCCAGATCAAGGTCACGTCGATTTTTTTAAATGGAACACCATATTTTTCATTATATATTCTTGTAGCTTACCTCGAGAGCTTTTCAAAATACTATAATAAAGTTATTTTTCATTATGTACTTTTCGAGTTATAAGGCTTGAAAGTCAGTTATTAGCCGGAATTAGCATTACGCAAGTGATCTTGACCTAGCCTTGGCGATGCTACTAATCATCAAGGTCAAAAACTCATTGCGCCAGTAAATGGATCTTTTGAAACCCTACAACTTTTATCTGAAGCACTTTTTCCTAAAATGCTTAATTTTTTAGATATTTCGCCGTACTTTTTATACACCCTTTTATATATATATATATATATATATCAGCATTGTAAAGCAATATAAATGTACAGAATTCATTTATAAATGCCGTTATTTAGCACAGCAGATATACATTCATATTTTTGTACAGATTACATAGCAAACAGAATATCTGTGTGAACAGATTAAAATTTTTTTTATCGATTAGCGGGATATATATTTCTTAAAATAAATATTTAATTTATATATTGGATCTATGTGAGCTATGTCTTGAACATTCTCTGATCTGTAAAATTATTTTTAAGACCACTGTTTGTGTCAGATGTTAGGTTTTATATTATCTGAATTGTATATAAATGCTTTTATCTCTTATAAAATAAATAAAAAAACCTTAATTTTTAAGACTAGCTAATAACATATTGATTTTATCCACGAATTGTTTGTCTGATGATCCGCATTGTGCCAGCACAAATGTGAGAGCTGAAGCGTCTTTTTGTTCG